TCAGCAGGAGGAACCTGCCCTGGCTCAAGAGACAATCATCATAAATTACTAGGATGCAATCTTATATCTTTATTGCACCTTATCTCCCTTCCCAGGAAAGAAGGACTGAAACAAAGTAACTCAATCCCAGTCTGCCACAGCCCAAAGACACAACCCTTTTGTGGTCAGGGTGACGCATCACTCACCCAAGAATGGCACATCCTGCCTTTAAGTGTCCCTTTCATCAATAGGGCCAATCAGTTCACAGCTAAATAATAGGAAGGTGGAGCCCAGATGCAAAGAGGAGAGATATAAGGGGCCATTATTGTTAAGACTTCCCATATTATCTCTTATCTTTCCTTTCCTCATTGCATCAACAAGCCCCTCATCATGTTCTGGCCACCCATTCTCAGCCTTCTAGCGTTATGGTGCACAGGTGAGAGCAAATACACACTCAAATTACTGTTAGGATGAATGTATCTGATAAACAAAGAGTTTCTGACACTTTCTGCCATATATTTTTTTTTCCAGGTTTGGACTCTCAGCCTGTGCTGACTCAGCCCCCATCAGCATCAGTGTCACCAGGGAGCACAGTGAAGCTCTCCTGTGTCATGGGCAGCGGGTTCAGCATCAGTAGCTATTATATAGCCTGGTACCAGCAGAAGCCTGGCAACCCCCCAAGATACCTCTTGTACTATTATTCCGATTCCAGCAAGAGCCAGGGCTCTGGAGTCCCCTCTCGTTTCTCTGCTTCCAAAGACGGATCTAGTAACACCTGCTATTTAACCATCATGGGAGCCCTAGCAGAAGACGAGTCTGATTATTCCTGTGCATACTGGGCTGGCAGTGCTTGTCACAGTGATACAATCAGATGGGGAACTGAGACAAAAACCTCCTTGTTCTGTTCCTAAAGAGGGCTGAACTGAGCACGTGGATGTCACAGAGAGAGCTACTGGAACTATTACACTTTGGAGTGAATCATGTTCCAGCCATTTGAACTGGGAGGTGGATTTTTTTTTTACTTGTTTGTTTATTACTATCAACTCAGATTGAATCTATGTGGGAAAGCCTTGTGGGTTGAGGAGATGCCTGAGGAAAGGATACTGCAAGTCCAGAAAACCTCAACTTTCTGCATTTCTGAAATGTTACCTTTTGGGCATCCCAAAAGAACACCAGATCTCTCTCCTTGCATCTGACTCCATTTTGAAATGGACTGAGGAAAATGTTATGCTGGCTTTCTAGAGATTGGCTTGAGACAGCTCACAAGACAATAGCACAAAACCAACAAAACCCAATAATTAAAATCAAAGCCCTTATAGAAGCCTCTAAGAACAAGCTGGTTCCATTAAAACAATTGGCTGGTTTTCGTCCAGTTTTTTCTGGACCCAAGCTTGTTAGGGTCCACCCCAGAACCCAATTCAATATTAGTCATAATAATACATATCTGTGCCTTGCTTTCAGTGATCAAAGTCCTTTGTTTCTGTTATCTCGTACTGCTTTCACCAGCCCTGTCTCATAGGCCAGCATTATTATCTGCATCATGCAGATGGGGAGGCAGAAAGAAAGTCTTGTCCATGGCCACCTAGTGAGTCAGTGGTAGAGGCATTACTGGAACCAGGGACCTCTTCAACTAGAGTCCACAGCTGTGCACTGTTAGTCGGGGGTTGTTGTTAAATGGCAAGTTTATTATTAAGAAATGGGAGAAGGCTGATCATTACAGGACTCGTCTTTCGGTCACTTAACATGCATTTAGGGGAAGGGCTGTGGCTTAGTGGAAGCACATCTGCTTGGCATGCAGAAGGTCCCAAGTTCAATCCCTGCCATCTCCAGTTAAAAGGAGCAGGCAGTAGATAATGCGAAACACCACCTGGGACCCTGGAGAGCCACTGCCAGTCTGAGTAGACAATACTGACCTTGATGGACCGATGGTCTGATTCAGTATAAGGCAGCTTCATGTGTGTTCATTAGTTAGCACCACTTAACTGCCCTTCCGTACTCAGCAATCAGAATAGCTAGAGATTTGTAAAGTTGCCGATCCTTTCCAGCCCGAGAAAACGTTATTAGAAATGAACAGGGGGTTCCAGTCATCTGCTTTAAATGATTTAAATATGTCATCTAATTAGCATGGATCAATACACACTAAGTTCAAGGGAAAGTCCTTAGATGGCACAGTCTACCGATTTCAATGTTGGAGAAGACTCTTGAGAGTCCCTTGGACTGCAAGAAGATCCAATCAGTCAATCCTAAAAGAAATCAACCCTGACTGTTCCCTGGAAGGCCAGATAATGAAACTGAAGCTCAAATACTTTGGCCACCAAGTGAGAAGGGAGCACTCCCTGGAGAAGACCCTGATGCTGGGAAAGATTGAAGGTCAAAGAAGACGGGGATGGCAAAGGATGAGATGGTTAGACAGTGTCAATAGATGCAACGAACATGAAAGACAGGAGGGCCTGGCGGGATCTGGTCCATGGGGTTGCGAAGAGTCGGACTCAACTGTGCAACTGAACAACAACAAAAACCGATTTCAAGGAGCAGCCATCAATGCAACATAAGAGCTGTTCCAAGGCACCGTTCATGCACTGCGACTCAGTACAAACGTACCTGCACAGAAGTGACCTCTGCTGGTGGCTGTTTGCTTCCCCTTATTCCCTAGTTTTATTTGGAGGTGGGAGCTGGAAGGACTTGTTCCCATTCGCTTCTCTTTGGCTTTGCTGCCATCTTCAGGCTTCTCCTAAGCAGGGAAGTTATCCAACTGCAAACATTTGGCTTAAATATAGTTCTGGAAATGCCAGCATGGCAGTTCAGAGCAGAGGCACTAGATGGGGATGTGGGCTAGGCGGTGACAGGCTGAGCTGATTTGCCAGCCTTATCCCGGGGAGGCTGCCAAGACCCCGAGGCAAAATTCGGAGATGGACAACTAGGAGGGGAAGACGAACAGGGGATTCTCTTGACTCGCTTCAAGAATAGTCAGTTTCAGCAGCCACGCAAATCTTTTCCTTGGGAGGTTAGAATCAGGACGTGGGCTTGCATGGAGGGGAGATGAATTGCAGTGATGCCAGCGGCACTATCAGAGTGGTGTCTTGGGCACACCCACACATTGTTGGCTGTTGCACTAGCACTGTGGCATCACAATCATTTGCATCTGGATCCCCCCTCCCCATGAGCACAAGGCCACTCCATTGCAAAGGACAGCTATAGTGCGATAAAAGTACAATATTCACCAAAGTATGGATACAGGCTATGATTCTCAGGAAAGCACATGTCGCAGTGCCATAGATGGTGCCTTAAGCATCATCTTGCCCTGGGCTATTTTTGGGCAGGAACGCACAGGAACGGAGTTCCGGCTGGCTCCTGAGTTGGCCACACCCAGCAGGAACCCTTTAGCATAATAGGCCACACCCAACAGCAGAAACTCATTAGGACTGGCTACATTAGGGGTGTGTGGCCTAACATGCAAAGAAGTTCCTGCTACAAAAAAAGCTCTGGACAACAAACAAGATAAACAGAATAAGAATCAAAAGGTGGATGTGGCTGGATGACCACATTTATGGTAACATGGGGGTGCGGCCTAATAGCCTAATGAGTGGTGCTGTCAGGGTGTGGCCTAATATGCTAATGTGTTTCTGCTGTTGGGTGTGGCCTATTATGCTAATGAGTTCCTGCTGGGCTTTTTCTACAAAAAATGCCCTGATCTTGCCCCAAGACTGAGGACTACCTGCAAGCTGATCCGAGCTCCTTAGAGTCAGAGCAGAAAGGATGAGGAATAAATAACTAAGACAGCTCTCTTTATTGTTCTAAAGATGCAAGCTGGGGAAAGCATCACTTTTTACCAGCAACGAGACAGAATGTTGTTGAAAACAGAGGCACTTTGACATTTTCTTGATTATAATCAATAAATCACTGTTGGGGGAGGTCGCCCAGAGGTGGGATAGTATCCAATCAAAAGTCTCGCTAGGATGCTGTAAGCCCTGCCGCCCCCACCCTACCCCCAGCACACAATGAGTTCAGGAGACTTTGTCCTGAATGTCACTTCTGGGTAGACACCACCACAGAGCCAGTTTGGTGGTGTGGTTAGGAGTGCGGACTTTAATCTGGGAGAACAGGGTTTGATTCCCCACTCCTCCACATGCAGCTGCTGGTGTGACTTTGGGTAAGTCACAAGTTCTCTCAGAGAGCAGTCCTCGAAAGAGCTCTCTCAGCCCCACCTACCTCACAGGGTGTCTGTTGTGGGGAGGGGAAGGGAAAGGAGATTATAAACCGCTCTGAAACTCCAAGTGAAGGGTAGGGTATAAATCCAATTTCTTTGTCTTCTTCTCCTCCTCCTCCTACTACTACTACTTGAGAAGGAGATACAGGCCCTAGTATAGTATTTTGAAAAGAGAGTGGGGCAGAATTTGGGTCAGGCGATGTAAGCCCTGAGGCCAGGGGTCGTTTCGTAGAAAAAGTGCTAGGGGAACTCATTAGCATAACTCATTAGCATATGCCACACCACCTGACATCAGGGGCCTGGTGGTGGACCTGCAAGGCCAGCAGGAGTGCAAGGAAGCCCCGCCAAGGCCCTCCCTGGACCCAGGCAGGCAGGGGTGGGGAGAGGCGAGGAGGAAGCAACTTACCCTCCCTCTTCTCCTGCCTCCTCCTGGCTGAATGAGGGTCGAAAGCGGGGCGGGGCTTCGTCGTGTGCCCCACCCCCCTGCCCCTCACCCGGGGGAACTGCAATCCCCCCCTCCGAATTGACCTCTGCCTGAGGCAAATATCCTCCAACCCCAACCGTCCTCCTGATTCTCCCATCTAGGATGGGAGGTGGTTAAAAAGACCCCCTTCTTGTGTTATACTGTAGAGATGCAAGGCTGGTTAAGCACCTTTCTGCTCACCTCACCCCACCATCTGTGGCCACAGCAGTTGCTCTGCTGTAGCAACCCATTTGAATTCAGGGCCGGGTGAGCAGGAAGATGCTCCTCATCCAACTTTAGAGCTCAGCTACGTGGGGGTGGGAAGATTCCTGTTGCCCTTTGCAGACCCTCACCTTGTAAACAGATACATTCTGAAACAAAAGGTGTGGCAGATCAAACAAACCCAGAAATCTTAACCCTTGAAAGATCTGCTCCCTAATTCTCAGCAGTGCACAGAAGACGCTCTGCGTGTGCTCATGGGCACCTGCTTCTGTGTTTCAGGGCTTTTCTTATGATTTGATGGAACTTGTTTATTGTTATGTGGTGGTATACAGAACATATTGTCTTTGTAAGTTTTGTTGACTATCTTGATTTGTGGGTCAGACTCTGCTTTCTCAGTATTTGTTTCTAGACCAGGTCGTGATTGTCCACATTTGTCCTGTCTCCTAGGGCTTAAATCTTGACATTAGGCAGAGCCCGTGCTCGGATTCAACCCTGCAATACATCGCTCCCCCTTTGGGTCCCAGTCTGGAGCATACTTAGAGTTGCCTCTTCTTTTCTGGCTTGGTTCCAGTTGTTGGGAGAAAGGGTACAGTGAGCCTGTTGAATTTTTGCTAATCTTCCCATGGATACTCTCAGCATGTAAGCAAGAGGTCTGCCCAGGAGCAATGGTAGTTTGCTCATCTTAAGAGCCTCTCGGGCTTCCAAGGATGCCCTGACCCTGCTGACTTCCTGTATGTTGTTATGGGACATGATCACTGCCTGCCTTTCGCCTTTTCCCCGTCCCCACTTTTATTTGGAGGCAGAAGCTGGAATGGAACAATGAGCTTCTGCTGATATCCCTTTGGCACTGCTGCCACCTTCAGGCTTCTCTTCAAC